CTCAGCTTCACAACACAGGTATGCCTTCCAAACATGGAAACCACCTCGGGACCTATTGGGTTAGTAGCCAGAAGGCTTTCATGGCTTTCCCTACAGAAGGATAGGGCACTGGATACCTTGTCCCCAGTCTGTGAATTACTACAGAAGTCTCCAAGGGCGCTTGCCCAAACTGCAGAGAGGTAGTTCAAACAGTGGTGGAAGACATTGCCAAAGCGGGGTAGGCTACTCATTTCTCTGTGCCGTTCTTCCACCAGTTGGGGGTTTCTCAAATCACCATGACATTGGAGTGCCAGCCTCTGCATTCTCTGTGTTTCTAGTGAAACAGCTGATGCCATTTCAGACATACAACAAAGTTAGCTCAACTTCAGCAACTTACCATACAAAGTTGCTAGACACTGCATTGTTAGCAAGCCAGGACAGGCTTTGCAACACTTGTAGAAGACAAAACTGTGAGTTTAAAGCATCTCATTCAAAAGCACAATGCTTTACAACCTGCTTTAAATTTCATTCTGGTAAAAGTGGATTGGGAGGATTGTTGTTTTGGTTCTCCAACTGAAGCTGGCTACAAAAACTTGAAACTTTATATATTTTTTTGTGCTTTTCCTCCTTATTTTGCTTGCTGTTGCTGACAGTGTTTGTCAACAATTATTCATTCTAATATTTCTCAGACTTGCACATGGTAGGCATGTCATGAGTGGAGTCGGCTGGGGCCAGGGGTCAGACTGGATAACCCAGGAGGTCCCTTCTGCTCGTTCCATTTCTATGCGTCTATGTTTCTCTGTTCAAATGGCCCTCACCTGCACCAGCAGTCTGCACCTTTAAGGCAAAGCTGCAAAGGCTTAGTAACCTAACTCTCTAATCAAGAGGAATATGCCTTTTAATAAGAAGATTCCTTTGAAGGGGGGAAACTCTTACCAAGTGCAGCACCCCAAAACACCCCACAAGTAATTGGCCAGAGAAAAGCCCCAAAAGTAGTTGGCCAGAGGAAGGCTACATAGTAAAAACACCACAGTTATACTGTCCCAGAAGGGAGGGGGGATAAGAACAAAATGAACTTTGTGTAACCCACAGCTAACACGCTAGCCTGACCTCGAATACAGTAATCAAAGGGACAGTGGAAACTGGTTCTAGCCACCATGAATGTTACAAATGTGCAGGGAGTAAGAACATGGCAAGCCTGTGTGAATCTCGAGCAGATAAGAAATAGACATGGGAAATGTCTGGTCCTTGACAGAAGAAAGGACTCTTTCTCCAGCATGGGAGGGGGTGCACACATTGATGTATTGATGCATTAGATGTGTATTAGGTGACCTAATTGGTTACCCAGGGTATAAAACGCATGTACTGGGGTGCAACTTTCGAGACACTGCTTTGGGCTGAATGTCACCTTTCGTCTCCCTTTATTCTATAGTGCACTAGAATAAAGCTGATTTTGGCTCTAAGTCTCATCTCAGGCTCTGTTTGGTTCGGGCCTGGGGTCCATCTGGGTTTGCCCCAGCTGTTGACTGGCTCAGTCTGGTAACACATTTATCCAAAAATACTTCAAAAGGTAGCCATTCAGTGTGTATCCATGAAAAGTAACTTCCATTTTCTCACCTACCTGTTTGATTGCCACCTATTAATCATGACATGATTTTTAAAAATTTGACCTGAAAGTATTGTATGAGTAGCAACCATGAAAATTTCCTTGGATTGGATTGGGTTGTCAATAGAGTGAAGCACAAGAATAAAGCTCAGTTTCACATTTCTGTATACAGAGCACACACAAATTCCATCAGCCATATAGCTTTAAATCCTGTCTTGTTTCTTGCATGGGTCCAAGGTGGCTTATATAATCAGTTCTGTGATATAGGTTAGGCTGAGAGTTAGTGCCTGGCCCAAAATCACCAAGGAAACATCTCGGTTGAGTGGCTTCTTGAACCTAGATTGCTCTTCCAACTCTCAGTCTGATACCCTAACCACAATGCCACACTGGCATTTGTATAAGCAGCATTGGCAGCAGGGCCTCCTTCCCCCTGATATCTTCATATGATGTGAATATCTGCAGGAATGGGTCATTTGGACCTACTGCTGAGCAAGTAAAGCTTTTCTGCATCTAGAATCTTGTTTAATCAGGATGCTGTGGCGTGTAGAGTTTGTGCACACATTGCTGACAAGTGTACAGGTGGGCACCAGTGAGAGGACTGTGTGGCACATGTAAGAGGTGGGACTTCGTGGCCCTGCTCCCCCATTGCACTACATGGAAGCTACAACACCCAAACCAGGCTTTTGCATGACTAAATACTGCATGTGGACTGTCTTTCTTGTGCATGCTCAGGCACTCATGGCAGATGTGAGAAGAGTGCACATGCATAAAAACATACCAGGACTGGAAGGAACAGGAAGACTGTATACCTGTGGGGGGGGGGGACTTGTAGCCCTTCAGAAGTTTTCTTTTATAATTCTCATTGGACCAACCGACATAGCCAAGGGGGATAGATGATGGCAGATGTAGAGCAAAATATCCAAAGACTTCAAGTTGCTCATCTTTGCTGTAGCTCAGTTTCCCAGAATCCACTATAATTTAGGCTACACTCTAATTCTACCTTAGACCCTTTGTTGCCATTCAACTCGGGTTACTGCATGCCTATTATAATGCCCTAAAGAACATACAGGTAGAAATCAGGTACCAAATATTAGGAGTGTTTCCACAACTCAAGCAGCAGTTCTGGGAAATGACTGCTCCAGGGTAGACACACCTAGGACTTCCCCTCTTCTTCCCAATGTACTTGTTTGCGGGGGAGGAGAAGGCATGCAGAGCCTTGCCTTCTCAGCTCCTCCATCTTGGTCTTTTCTGAGCAAAGCTCCACTTCCCTGAATAAACTGTATTCTGTGGCAAACTATTCCAGACAACTTCACTCAAAGCAGGCGGAACTGTCTCAGACATTCTGTTGCATCACATCTTCCTAGCTAACGGTTCTGGGGCTTGCAGGCCACAGGCAAGCAAACAAGTAAAAGAAAGGTTCTGAACATATATGCATGAAATGGCAGAAAAGGGTTAAATATCGAAGTATTTTATATTAAAACTGAATTCTAGTAACCATACCAAATTCAGAAGACATTTCAATCGAGATGCATCAGTAATACATTCCAGGCATACATTCCAGTTCCATGTGTGTAATAAATATGCTATAAAATATTACTGGATATATACTTTTTAAAAATTTTGAGACGGGATAGTACAACTTATATATTTGGACTGATGATGATGAACATAGCAGTATAAGATCGTAAAAATGAGAAAAATACATTTGCACTTTTAAAAATACCAGTTAAATTACAAAATGGTAACATCACTTCTATTTTCAATGCCCCTTTCAGAGGTCTTGAATATAAAGGCACTGTTTTATTTGCATGCTATCTAGCAGTGTTACAATGGGAGCCACTGACCAACAGCTTCTGGTCCCTAATCTCTATTAATTCCAGCACAGCTTCAAGGAGGTCTCAGGCAAACCTTCTGCCAGTGGCTGCATTCATGTTACACAAAATAGAAGAATACACATATTCTTTTGTCCTAAAGACCCCAAAGTGTTAAATGCTAGAAACATTTTTAAAGAATTCTCAAATGCAGTTTCAAGAATGTAAAAATGTATTTGTTGCATAACTGTACAGAAAATAGCAATATTACACCACAACCTTTGAGAAATGGTTCCTTTCTAGAAAAGATGGAAGGCAGAGCTTTGAAAAAATGTTGTGAAGCTCTGTAAATACCGCAATCCCTATGTACTCTCTTGGAGTAGCCCAGCTTCTCCACAACTTAGGGGGGCACTAGCAGAGAAGGATGGAATCCCCACTCCACTGTGGGATCAGCTCGCACTGGAGGATAGAGTCAACAGGCCATTGGATAATGTTCTGTGTTTTGTTATAACCCAGCTATATGGGTTATAATAGGGTTATAGGGCTAGCAGAGAAATCTTCAATAGAGTTCAGATTTCTAAGCATCCAACCCACAGATCCTCCAGTGGTCTGTTTTTTCCTGAATTGCTTTAATCCATAAATTTGCAAATCTTTTTCTAATTTTCTCTGTAATTTTATGCAAAGTTAGCCATAACAAAATATGAAAAATGAAACATGGACTAAGCCTGTATTTTGGAGAGTATGATTTTACTTAAATGCATGTGCATGCATTGATGCAAAATTTGATTCAGTGAGTGGATGATGGAAAGGAAGGTACCTGATCATGGAAAAAACACAGATGGAATGGACTTTACAATGTCTGCACATCCCTGTATGTATTAAGAAAAAACATTCTTTTGGTCCTGCACTAGAGGATGCTGTGACCCCCCGCTCTGAGAACATAGGGAGGACCTATTTCGGACTAGCACCAGCAGGAGAGGTGAAAAAGTAATCATAGCAAGTCTATAGTACCACTGAGTATTCAAAGCATCTCATATATATTATAATCTCAATCATCCTTAAAACAACCCTGTAAGTTAGACAAGTATTAACAAGTACTAATCATGTTGCATAGGCAGAGAAAATAATGGCTTATCTAAGACCACTGGAGTTGGTGATTTGGAGAATTTAATTAATCTCTCTCTTAACTAAGACATGACACCAGCTTAGAAGTATTACTTCACAGTCCTACTATGAGCTGGTCACAGACTTTGTCTTTGTAAAACAGAAGACAACGTTCACAAAGGCACACTATGACAAACCACATCAGCATTCGTGCTCGAGGTAAAAACACAGGTGGGAGCCTTGCCAATGAACTCTACTAATAGTCTGGAAAAAAAGTTACTACTGCTAAAAGGTCTTTTCTGCGTATTATCAAGCACAGAATATGGAATGCAGCCCAGAATGTTGAGTCGTCAAAATCTTGCCTTTGGTTTGTTGAGATTTTGTCATCCTCATGATTGTATAGAGAAGGATTAAACATGCAGAATCAAATCAGTTAAAGATTAAGAAAACAAAGAGCTTTAAAGAGCTGTGTGTCCTGCACAACTCTCTGTTCTTTTTTCCTTGGAGACTTCACAGTTGCATTCATGCCCTGGCCCAGGCTGTTTGTAACTCCTTTTGCTGAACAAGGTCCTTGTGCAGACAATTTCCAGAATTAAGAACCCACTGAAGGTAAAAGCTAAGGCAGAACTAAGCTATCTGGCACTATGATTTATACAAACATCTCAGCACCTGACTTCTCAAGAGCAAAATACTTTTCTGTAGTGAACTGAAAGGGAGAGAGACCCCCGAGAATTAGGGTTTCTTTTCTTGATAGTTTCAGATCAGGGTAAATGACTCTGAATCAGTGGCCATCAAATGCCTGAGAAAGGGAACCTTTCTCAGATCAACGCAGGCCATAGAAGTCCAATGTGCTGCAGAGGATTCTGGGACAATTTCTTCTACTCTGTTCATGTGGGATATGGACCTAGATTTTTGGGCCTCACATTTGCAATACTGGAACTGCAACTGTACTCTAGAAAAACACTCTCAATTCCCCAGTAAGACCAGATCAGGGGGGGAAAGGGGTGGAAGTGAACGTGCTGTCTTTAATGTTAGGTTTATCCACTGATGCAAGTTTATCAGGGACATTTCTCCCATTAAGCAGAGTGAGGTAGCTACCTCAAGGAGTTTATTTTGAGTGTCATGAAAGGGCAGCAAATTGAGTTATTATTATTGTGCTGCTATGGCTTGTGACTTTGCTCTCACAGGCACCCCAAAAAGTTCATTGGCCTTGTGGCAGGGACTGGGGGAGCAACCTTCTTGCTGCTCTGTCTCAGGCAACAAAATGTCTGCAGCCATCATTGCCAATTCCCTATAAACTTCCCAGAACCCTCCAAATTCCCTTGGAACTGTTTGAAAACAACCAGTCTAAAGCCTGGTCAGCCTTTTATAACCTGAAATGGCGAGAGAAAGCTGGTGTGGCTTCTTGTCCATAGTAAGAGAGATTAATGCTTGGGCAGGGCAAATATTAAGTAACACCCATCATAATTAGAAGGACAACAAGAGTGGGACATGAAATGACAAAAATGGGAATGGAAGGTCAAGCAAAATGAGGCAGAAGCCAAGCTTTCAGTCTGCTGCCTCTTAAAAAAAGGAAAAGAAACAGACTTCTATCCTTGATCACTTACTTGCTCTATGCACTCAACTGCACACATCAAAGAAGAAAGATAAATAGTTTGCTAGCTTTCAGCTGCACATTAAAAAAACCTCTTTTACCAGGTCTGTGACAAATTACAATATGGCTTTGGATTTCCATAATCTAGATCTATTTTTTTTTTCTATCATAAAACCTCTTCTATGGCTTTCCTTTGAAATGAAGAGGAAATTTCCTATTAATTCCAGAGGGGGGAAAGCTGGGCCAGAGCCAGTGTTTGGCTCAGTGAGAAAATGCCCACAAGGAAAGCAGAAAAATCCAGAGCAGATGTAGTACAATAATGGCATATAAATCAGTAGGGGAGCATCTTTAAACAAAGCCACCTATGGGCAAAAGCAGAATTAATTATTTTTTCCCAGTGACATGTAGTATTCTGTCAACACTTTCCATGCTTTCGGTGCCATGAATCCATCAGGGGGATTTTCACCTTCACGGGCCAACTTCCTCATCCGTGTGCCGGAAATGAAGTCAAATTCATGGTGTCTATGAAGAAAAGGGTAAACGTCCATGAAGACAATGGGGAAAAGTGCAGGAGCTGCATCTTAGCTCATCTTCTGTACACAAATTAATCTGAAACAGTTACATGTGGTGCATGAAATAATAAGGATCCAAACTAGACCTGTGGCTGGAAACATATGGCTTGCATTGTGTGAACAGCTCCTCAGCTCTACCAGAATGGAAGGACAAATGTCAGTGCTGCAACTCACACGGTTCTCCAGGAGCAAAGCAAATGCATGAATCACCACATCCATGCTGTGCCTTGCCCAGGGGCACTTGATTCTGTAGTTTTCCATAGTGAAACCTGAACAAGCTTTTGGGCCATGCACCCAAGGGAGGCAGTTCAGATTAGGGTTAGGCTGAAACAGAGCGGTGCATTTCATGAACATTTTCAAACACACATACAGGGCTGCATTCACATGTCTATACATCATGGTCTCACATGACATGAACGGGCTTCAGCAAGCCTTGGACTTGTGTCTCTCTCTCTTCCTCCCATAAGGTCCAAAGGAGGAGTTTGGAACCCTTCGCATCCTAACCCTAGCTTGTGGTGTCATTTGGAGTGATAAGCTGCTGCTAAACCTACCTGTGGTTAACACTTTCAGACCTACCATGAAGCAGAGTGAAGCACCTGAAAGATACTGGAGTGTGTGTTGAGCGTCTCTCTGCATTGTCCTCTCATGATCTTTCACTCACAAAAGTTTGTGGGTGCTTTTCACAACATCCTAAGACCTCTCCAATGTTTTCCAGCCATTTTCATGGCATTTTTTTTAAGAGCACAAAAAGTCTGGCATTATTTCCTATTACACACCTTAATTCTTCAACCTGGCTGTGTATTTTTTGCAATTGTACTCCACTGCAGCACTTCCTTGTGGTATTTCCATCATAAATATAGGAAGGCAGAGAAATTAAATCCAGGGGGTGGAGGGGAGTGTGAAACTTCTTTCAATAATGAACATGGAAGAAGAAAGCTCCATAAAGTCATGGAGAAGCCCTGAGTCCCCCGCTATTTCCCTGTCTGCACGTCACACAACTTGACCTTTTCTCACTAGGCCAGCCACCTGCCCTCAGATGTAGCACAGGATGCTGTTCTGATTCCTGAGATCAGAAGAAAGGATACAAGCAGCCAAGCTCCTAGGGAGCAAGCGATCACAACAAGCAAACAGGAGTTGATCAGAAGCAGTCAAGGGGGAGGTAAAAAACCTACCAGTTTAAGCTGAAAGTTAAAGCAATTTTGCATTGCCTCAAGTGTAACAAAGAAGTTAGAAGTGCAACCACAAGCTGAGGCAAAAGAGGAGAATCCTGAGGGAAGAGAAAATGAGGAGGAAATGCCCTGGAAAAGGGGGACAGTTAGGTGCAGAAGAACTAGAAGGCATTCTGCACCAGTGGAAGCAGTGGAACTATGGGACTGCTTTAAGTTACTCAAGGATGAAACTGCCGGGCAGCCTGCCATGGAAGAACTGCAAGTCACTCCATGCAACACTGAACAAGAGGCTGAAGGTCAACCAAGAAGTGGCAATGACACCAAGGCTTATGAGAACAAGAAGAGAAAGTGTAAGTTCTGGGAGACTCCCTGTTGCATGGGAGGGAAACACATCTATGTCAAGAAGACCTGTGGACTTGTCAGGTATGCTGTCTGCCTGGAGGACAGATTACTGATACAACTGAAAAATTGCCAAGGCTCATACAGCCCACTGATGTGTATCCCTTCCTTCTTATACATGTGGGAACAAATGGCACTGCCAAGCAGAGCTTTGAAGAAATTATGTCAGACTTGGAAGCCTTAGGGAGGAAAGTCAAGAACTTTGGGGCCCAGAGAGATTTCTCTTCTAGTTCTTGGAAGAGGAATAGATAGGGAAAGAAAAATACTCCACATGAATGTCTGGCTACAAACGTGGTGCCAGTGTGAGAGATTTGGATTTTGGGACCACAGGCTACACTTCCTGGAAGGTGCACTGCTGGCAAAGGATCGGTTGCAGAAAGAGTGTGCCTGGCCACAACATGAAGAAGTTTATCAGGAATACATAACCTCCTGTGGGTTAAAGAGTCTGTTAAGAAGGCTTTGACATAAACACGATATCAAATAAATGTGCTAAGAGATAGTTTACTAAAATTTTAGTATCCCGTGAGGGAAAAAAATAGTTCTCCGATCTCCCTTTTGATGTCCCAGCTTGATGCATATGGAAAACTCTTAAGGAGAAATAATGATCCTATAACTTATTGAGATGGCACTGATCAATCTGAATGAGTCAAATCTTGGCAACAACTGAAAGATGGAGGGAAAAACATATAGTGGCTTGTTTATCATCAATTGATTTCAAGACTGAAAAGGGAAATATAACTAGGAGAAGGCATTTTAAGAGATTTGACAGATTTTGAAAAGCTGAATGATCACTTACTGGAAAGACTACAAACTGTTATTACATTATGATAGTGAAAGCCATCAAGATAAGAAATGCATATTAATTTGGAAACAGATCTTTGGAGAAGAAATATCACTGGGCCAGTAGGAAACTCTTTGGAAAAAAGATATTAAATTCACTGCTAGTCAAGCATTAAGAGAAAATTAGTAAAAGATGTTTTATCGGTGGTATATCACTCCAAAAGATAATGAAAAAATAAGACAAGAACTACAATGGAAAATGCTGGAAATGTAGCAGGGTGGATGGAACTTTCTCTCATATGTGGTCGACTTGTGAAATAATTAAAAAAATGGAAATTGACACATGCGGAAATGCAGAAAATGTTCAAAACTAAGTTTCCTATGAGTCCCAAGAATATGCTTTTGAATATAATGCCAGAGATGCTTTCAAAAAGTATGTCAGAGTTATTCAAGTATATGACAATAGCAGCAAGAATCACAATTGCTTCTAAATGGAAATCATTGGAGTCCTCAACAATTGAAGAATGGAGAAACACACTAGCAAAATATGCTGTGATGGCTCGTATGTAAACAGAACAGTGTTAGAAGAATTCAGTACAATATTGGAGGGATGAAGAACTACCGGATGAAGATTTGAACAAGATACTGGACTGCACAGAAATGGATAGACTGACTTTATCCCTTAAGGAAAAAGAAAGGTACAGTTTACTACCAAACATGGGACTTTTTCTATCAATGGCTACAGAATCAGAATTTTAATTCGGGCTGAAATACATAGCAATTGTAGAGAGAAATAAGACTTTGTACACAGTATGTTTGAAGTCTTTGGACTTTGGACAAGTGAAGGATATAGTCTGTTTGAGAAGAAGAGAAGGAACAGGAAGAGAGACGGAGTCACACTATATGTTAAAGATACATATCACTGCGCAGACATACAGGAAGATGAGTTTAGTAGCCCCATCAAGAGCATCTGGATTAATATAAATGGGGCAAGGAATAAAAGGTACACAGTGGTTAGAGTCTATAACCAACCACCCAGTGAAGAAGAATATGAGGATGAAACTTTGAAAAGCAAATTGGCAGTGTTTCAAGGAGGCATGATGTTGGCATTAAGGAGGACTCCAATTTCCCTAATACTGCGAAACAAATTCTGCCAAACACAGCACCTCCAAAAGATTCCTACCATGTGTTGGTAATAACTTCCTCCAAAAGAAAGTGGAGAAAAGAACAAGACGAATAGCCATCCTTGACTTGATACCAACCAACAGGGAAGACCTAGTGGACAAAATGGCAGCTACAGAAATGAGATTCAAGGTGATCTTGATAAGTTGGAGCTCTGGGCTGAAAACAGCGAATTCAGTAGAGACAAATGCCAAGTTCTATACCTAGGAAAAAGAATGCATTGTTACAAGATGGGTAATACTTGGCTCAATGATACTGCAAGTGAGAAGGTTCTTGGAATTGTTGTAGATCACAAGCTGAATATGGGTCAGCAATATGATGTTGCTGCAAAAAGGGCAAATGCTATTTAGGCCACTTTAAAAGAAGTATTACTTCCAAATCATGTGACGTACTAGTTCCACTTTATGAGGGTGCCTAGAAACTCTGAGTACTGGTTGGGCCTCATCTGGAGTACTGTGTCCAGTTCAGGGCACCACAGCTGAAGAAAGATGCAGACAAGCTGGAAAGGGTTCAGAGGAGGGCAACAAGGATGATCCAGGGACTGGAAGCAAAGCCTACAAACAGTGACTGAAATAACTGGGCATGTTTCGCCTGAAGAAGAGAAGACTGAGAGGAGATATAGCATTCTACAAGAACTTGGAAGGCTGTCACAAAGAGGAAGGACAGGATCTTTTCTAGATCATCCCAGAGCACAGGACATGGAATGATGGGCTCAAGTTGCAGGAAGCCAGATTCTAGCTAGGAATCAGGAAGAACTTCCTGGCACAGCAGTATGCTGATGGATCCCATGACCTGGGGAGGTTGTGTGCTCTCCCACACTGGAGGAATTCAGAATGCATCTGGACAGCCATCTGAGAGGGACGGTTTAACCCAATATCCTGCACTGAGCAGGAGGTTGGACCCAATGGCCTTCTGATCCCCTCCAACTCTGTCCTATAATTCTGTTGAAGTGGGAAGGGCTGTGGCTCACTGGCAGTTGCCAGTGGTCCAGGTTCAGTCCTCACCATCTCCAAGTAGGGCTAGGAGAGACTTCTGCCTGCAACCCTGCAAAGCTGCTGCCACTGAGTATCAGCAATTCCGGGCTAGATGGACCAAGGTGAGAAACTGCTGTCTGTGGTAGGTTGCTATTTGTCATGCCACTTACCTGTCTGGATCATAAAAAACCATCGCTTTTTGGACTTTGTTGTATGCAGCTACTCGGAAGGGGATGATTTCCACAGAGGTCAGTCCCGGAGCCATACTGAGCACCTTTCCTCCTTGTGTGGGCTCATACAGATCTTTCTTTGTCTCTGGGTGGGGCATACCTGCTGGATCCCGACCCACGATGTAGAAATTGGCCCCAGCAATCATTCGAGCCCTGCAGTGCCACTGAACCTAAGGAAGAGCACTCTTGTTGAGAACAATCCTTCTGGCATTCATTGCTTTTAAAAAATCCTGAATCCACTTATCTGGGAGCAGCCCCCAGTGGTAGGCACTTGCATCTGAGTACACAGGCATGGGCTGGTTCTGTTACAGATGTCAAACAGGCCTTCAGCTGCCAAAAGGTGCAACTCTGTCTCTGGATGCACACTAGCATCACTACAGCATCACTTCAGTGTTTTGATGGATTTCACACCAGCACACTCCCTCTGGCCTCTGGCCCCTGTCTCCTTTGAGCTGTTCCTTAAACCCTGCCTCCCTCAACAAGGTGGCCTCCAGATGTGTGGCCTTCCCTTGGGTTGCAATACATATCCTATCAACTCCTGCCAATCCACTGTGGAGGTTGAGTGCTGTGCTCCAGCACATGTGGATGATGCTGTCGGGGGAAGGCCAAACATATGCATACACATCCCCATGTTTTGCACCAGATTACCTGTCATGCTTTTCCCCAAAGAGTCCTGGTAACAGTAGTACAAGTTGCTTACTTGGCAGGAAGCACCACTGGGCACTGAAATTTCCTTCTGAACATACATGTATAGCATTGCACTGTTTGTGCAGGTGGTGGGAATTGGTTGGAGATCTGTAAGCTCCTCTCACTGAACTACATTCCCCAGAATACCTGGGGGAGGTTAAGTCTGTGATCTAGAGTTGGATGGGCCTTTGATCTTGGTCTGAACAAGTGCAGCAATTCCTACTGTTACTACCACCACCACCACTCTTATTAAAGCATGGACTTTACAAAAATTGCAGGGAAGAACACTTGACAGTTTAAGTACTGACAGGGGTTAAGCAAGGAAAGCAAAAATATGAAAAAAATGCATGATTATAAAATAATGAACAGCAAATTAATCAACATTGAGTTTGTCTCTCTTTGTTTTTAATTTATAAAAACAGAGGAAAGCTCTTAAGGAACTTAGTCACAGGAAGAAACAAAAGGGGACGGCAGAATGGCAATTCCTCTTTCAGTTCTTCTTACACAGGGAGTGTCATACCTCTGTTGGTCCAGCATACAGCATTGGAGAAGGGAAAATAGCAACTACTGTGGACTTGGGATCCAAAACATGCTCCTCCAGCACAGCAGCATGTTGCTTCATGCGCCACTCGAGGGGCACATCGTCATCCTTGGTCCAACCACCGAGAGGGTGCAGGAGCAGCACGGGATGCTTATAGCCTCGTTCTAACAGGCGGCGCTTGGTGTCCTGCATCAGCAGAGCATGCCCATTGTGGACAGGATTGCGCAGCTGGAAAGCAAACACTGCATCTGAAAAGTGAGATGAAGGAAACACAGAACTCAGAAAAGCAAAACAGGCCACACTGAAGAACAACTGTGCCAAGCAGGGCAGAGCGTGTAAGAAACAAGTTACAGTAAATACAAAGCTTTTAATACCTGACTGCTTAATACATATGCTCCACATGCATGCACGGGCGCACACACATGCACTTGGCAAAAACAGGCAAGGGAATTCTGACATGAATTTAATTCAGTCTTGCTTAGATCCGCTGTGTAAATAATGCACAGACATCATTTATTTGATAGGAAACTAATAGGGCACAATCCAGCCATGTTCAGTTCTTTTAGTGCGGTCCATACACACGTACCTGGGGATAGTCCCATTGAATTCCATGGGGCTTACTTCTGTGTAGACATATATAGGATTGAACTGTTAGTTCCCAGTGATTTGAATAGAGGAGAATAAAACATTTTCAATGTTTTAAATAAGTTCCACCCCTTATTTTTAACTCAAACTTGCAAGTCTTCCCATTAAAACAGCAATAGAATTGCATAATGACACTGAAATGAGGGGTGGGGGCCCTTATCTTAATGAGAAATATCAACATCCCAGGTCAAAAGCTCTCCCAAACAGCTCTAAAAGGGGCAATTCAAGCCTAATACAGCTCACCAGCCAGGAGCATTGCTAGGAAGATGAAAAATTGGGGGCCTGGGCCCACTGGGCACAAATCTGTATACATTTTTCCATATGCTAATGTATATAAATATGCAAATATAAAATTTGTTGTTTATTAAAATTTTATAGAAGGTAAAGTCAGTCATTCATTTCTTACACTCTTACAATAGCATAAGTTGTTCAATTAATTTGCACTTACTGCATATCAACAGTTCTTTAGTTACAATCAATTTGCAGTGGTAAAAACGGGAAAAGGATTTTTTTTCATAAACAATTCACAACATCTCAAAATGGCAACATCTGCTCTGAAAGTGAGTTTCGAGAATTTTACAGGGTGCTAATCCAAAAGATGCAGCGCCCTTGAAAATCGCTCACATGGCAATAAGCTAAGACGGATTGTTTCACTGGCACACTGAACATTCTGGGAAAAGCGGTGGGACCAGGGCCCCATAGGCCTGCAGGCCTAATGAAAGCCTTCCACCAGCCAAGTTTGATGCCCCCTTAGAACTCAAGAAAACTCCTGCTTAGCTGCCCTTCTTAGATTGCAAAAATGGACCTGCTGATCACCTGAAAGGCAAACAATTTTCATCTCGGTGTGCCATCAGATAATCAGCCCAGTTTAAACCGCAGGCTGGCTCTACTATGCAGCAGGGAGATGTGATCTACTTCTGAAGAGACTATGGAAGAAGTCTCACCAGGCAACTGGTTTCAGCATGTTGAGGCCTGATCCTTTCAGATTATTTATTTTTATTATTGGTTTAATGAATGCATATTCCACTTCTTCAATAGAAATTGTGCCCAATGTTACATAGCACAAATGTGACTACTTACCAGCATTCATTTCTCTAAACTTTTGCCTCAGTTCCAAGGGTGTCAAACGGTACTGGTCCAGCTCATCATTCCATTTGATTCTCTCTAGTACAAGGAGGTCCCCACCGGCCAACCAGTCTCCACTCTCCATCACCATCTATCAAAAAGCAGTAGCAGATACTTTTAAATAAAGATATTTGCAATTATAACATCATGAAGGGTGGGAAGCCTGCAAGCAATACAGAGAACAAGAGCATATGCAATCACAATAACTGGTTGAGAAGTGTTCACTCTTCTGTTTCAAATATATGCCTACATAAGCATCCAGACGAAATTGAGGACTGTAAGATATGCTTTCACATAAAGCAAAAGCAGGAAGATCTTCTGTCCACTGAAGAAGAAGTGGAGGATATTTATTCTTTCAGGCTTAGAGCATAAATTTCTCATAATAAATTTTCCATCTCACATGTGCACCTGTAATACACACACAATTCCCAGAAACAAAATGTGTGCAGGTAGTACATTCTAGCCAGAAAGAAGCCACCACAGTTCATGCCTACATCATATACTCTGCAATGCAAATCCATATTCTTTATTATTAATTATTTATTTGTTATTTACTGGATTTCTGACCTGCCCCGTGAGCCACACAGCTACCTGTTCCACCAGATAAGGCAACTCTCCACTGATGAAGCTGCATAGAGTATGACACATGCTAATTCTCTATTCCATTCCTATCTAACATACTGAACAAGCACATTATTATAGTCCAAAATACATTAATGGGCAGCTCTTGCAGGTCTGGCTTCCTGTAAAGAACAAATTAATTCCAATTAGCTCCAGCAACAGTATCAGAGGTGCTGAAGAACTCGTTGCTGGTGGCCAACAGCGGGCACCAAAATGTGCTATAGCTGATCTCACGTATACATTCTGCCAAAAACCCAAGTCCTCCACAAAAGGATTCCTCTATAAAGTTAATTAACTATGAGACTAAGGTTCCAACAGCATCTGACATAACATTATATGCCATGTGTTTCTAGCCACCAAAATGATAAGTACAGCCATTCCTTTATTTTCAGTGTGCCTAGAACCAAGTGCCATCCAGCCAGAAAGTCCGGTGGCAAAGAGTTTGACTTCAACACAACCCATGGAGGAGTGTAAAATGACAGACAGACACAGACACAGAGGTACCAGATAATAGATAAGCCTTGCGATACAAACCAAGATCTGGGAAATTAAATCCTCCCTTCCTAATTGTCAGCTGCATCCTCTTAAGCAAAAACTGAAGAGGAGAATCTGCCAAATACACGTCAATAATACTACATTGAAAAAGCATTAGCGAATATCTACATAAATATTATACAATACATGCATTGTTTGTAGTAAGACACTCATCTGAAATATCTAAGTCTTACCTCAGATACTTAAAATAAGTGGCACCTATAAACTCAATTTAATCATTTAAGAACTATCTAGGCACCTGAATTCTAAGAGATGCTATAACATCTGGACTCAAGAAACAAATGCCATTTAGGGCATGATCCAGCAGGGATGCCCATACACCTCCAAACTCGCGGTCTCTTTTATGACCTTGGAGATGTAGTCAATGCAGCTCTTTCCATGTCAGCTGCAGGGGCAGGGAGAGAGGGGAGCAATCCAACACAGATGTCCAGCTCCAAGATCCAACTTTGGATCTGGGAATCTAACAAATCCTATGCCCACCTAGGTACTGTCTGGACGCCACCAGACTGCTCTGCTTCTAACTAGATATTATCTATTGGAATTTGGATTTTGACCAAGTAATTGTGCAATAAGCATGCTAAATTTTTTAACTTATCTCAGGCACTAAACTACGGTTAAATAACAAAAACTATAAAGCTGATTATATTCAGCCTGCTCATTCACAAACCCATGGATTTCTCTACCCTGCCCAGGGTTCCAGACAGAAATCATATGTCAAGGGAGAAAGAAGCCAGCTCTGCCTTCCAACTGTACACACACTTGAAATAATTCCATCTGTCATCACTCATGACTTGGGAAGGACATTTAAAATTCTAGTTCACATTGAAAATTCCTGTGGAAAATTAAAAAGGGGGTAATAAAAGTAAATAAATATAATGAAATATGGGAAGATTTCTAAAAGCAGTAGGGAAAGGCTATAAGCCTAATCAAGAATATATGAATTTTTGGAGGGGATATGGATATATTATAAAGTATATATTGTTAATTGCTATATTATATGGAGTAAAATGGAGATATAATACTGGTCTCCTGGGGAGCGGGCACATGATTTTGTGTGTGTGTGTTGTGTTCTTTTTAGTTATCAGTTGGGTTGCAAATGTTAATATTATTGATATATTTTGATATGTACTGTATCTCAACTGTTTGTATTTATGTTCTGTTCTGTTAAAAATAAATTAAAAAGGGGGAAGAAAAAAAAAGCAAAGAAGCACCAATACTTTATATGTTTCAAATATTTTCCGTCTACCAAAAAACTCAAGGCAGTTTACAATCCTGTATTCATCTCAAAACAACACTAACCACCAGCTAAGGTATGAGGACAACTAAAGGAGAAAGAACAGTGGTTCTTTTGCAGCTGCCCCATAACATTAAAGCAATGGAAAGTTTAAAACACAGACATCTGATGTTCCTATGCTCTCCCAAGAACTGAGTTTTACACAACTTGCAACAAGAAAAGATACAAATATGCTCTTGGAAGAGCCCTGCAGTTTCAGCCTGGAAGGCTCTGCTTCACCCTGCTGTTGACTCTACATTCTTTGTTGGCGGAATGCAGAATAGATTTTCTCAACAGGGAGTTGAGTTATTCATATTTAAGCTTGAGTTAAGTTTCCATGTAGCCTGAAGTGCCTGATCCTGCCTAATCTTGGAAGCTAAGCAGGGTCAGGCCTGGACAGAAGTGGGATGGGTGACTTGAGTGTATGATTCTATGATCATTGCTGTCAACTGCCTAGAGAGCTTTGGCTATGGGCAGTATAAAAATAGAATAATAATAATAATAATAATATTTATTTCTGCAAAAGAGATGTCTGTGCCTCTGTTTACTTACTTTCACATGTGGGTGTTTTGCACACGTGGTCCCCCAAATACGTGCACAGCGTTCTTCCTTGCGGTGCTCAAAAAATTCTGGGTTTTTCAGTATTGCCACCCTCTTCCCATTGTACTCCAGTGTAAATGCTTTGCAACCTTCCAGGTGGTTTTTGTCTTCAGTAGATACAGGCAACACAATGGGAATGCTCAGGTTAATAACACCATCTGTTGAAAGAACAATGTCATATGTTAATGCAGGTTTTCAAACATACATGAAAAGGATGGTCATCTGAAATCGTTGCAAAAGAAGAATACCCTCATTGAGTGGGCTTCCTTTATTAAACCGATCAATCAATATGCAGAGTGACTGTTTAAACTAAACAGTCACTCTGCATATCAGTATTACAATGCTGCAAAGGCTTATGGGATGTAGGGAAGCAATTGAGAAAGTAATCCATGGCTTGCTCCATCATCTGGCAGTCAAATCATGGGTTCACGCAAGGTAAAATGCATGAGTGAATTAAACCATTCATGGGTTTTCATTATATATGAACCACGTAAACATAAATCTAAACTAAATGCTAACATTATTAAAAATGCAATTAAAATCTGATCCATCCTGGATTCAAAGCCTAGAAGAATAAACATGCAGTTGCTTCATGCACAAAACCCAAGAAGTTAGGTGCAGGTGTGTCTTCCTGGGAGATCATTCCAGAGGAGGGATGTTGGATTCAAGAAGCCACGGTCTGCAGTCACACACAATTGGGACCTGGGTACTAGGCTGATCACTTGTGACGTGCTCTATGAACCTGCCCACAGTGGTCTCCAGAGTTCTTCCTCTGGGGCAAGGGGCACTCTGAGTTGAGTCTCTGAAGATGACTAAAAGGTCATCTGCGCCGACATGCGCATATAATGGCAGGCATTCCTTCCTTCCAATGCCCAGGTCCCAAGCCATGTAGAGCAACTTGATCCCCTTGGTGCAAAATACTAGGCAATGTAATTAAAAATACTGGGGACGCAGCAGTTAGCCTAACCCTGCTGCAGGGATTTAAGGCAAAGACCAGCATTCTGGATTGTGCCTAGAAAGGGAATGGAAACCAATACAGTTGCTTAAGCTCTCAGCAGGTAAGTTTCCATAGACTGGTCCCACTTCACAGCCTAGGAGTTACATAACAGCAGCTTCCAAAGAGTCCTCAAGGACAGTCTCACACAGAACACATTCTAGTAATCCAAATCTGTTGCTTGTCTGAGAATGGATAACTGGTTGGGCTAAGTGTCCAGGAGGGCTCGCAGCTGGTGCCCCAGCCTTACCTACTGAAAGGCACTCTGAACCACAGTTCAGTGAACTAGATGTGACACTGATATATTTCTTTTATTTAGAATGCTTCCACCATGCCCTTCAGGGTTTCTACTCCAAGGGCAGCCTACTTTAAAAGAATAAGAAACATAACCATTTACAGTCCATTTTAAAACCATTTGCAAGCATTAAAGTAGCTTAACAGTAGAAATGTCCCACATTTCAGCAGAGATCAAAATGGCAGCAGGTACAGGGTGTGGCAAAATACCAGCATGATGCTGGAGTGATAGAATCCCTTCAGCTTGACTTCTAATGTTCTTGCTCAGAGTAAGGTTGTCTAGTAACCTTAGGCAAAAGGAATTACTTAATCCGTGGGTTAAAACCATGTGAGTTTTCAAGTGTTTTGAGGCTGTTGCTTGTAGAACGGCTTGACAGCATACCAGCAAACCCCAGCAGAAAAAGAAACATGTCAAAAAATGTCAATAGATGCAGATCTGCCCCAGGGAGTGACTGCAGCTCAGTATCAGAGCTCATGTTTTGCACAGAGAAGGTCCCAAGTTCAACCCCAGCATCTCTAGCTGGAGAAGGACTCCTGCCTGAAACCCTTGAAAGCCACTGCCAGTCAGTGTTGACTAAACTAGGCTAGATTGACCAAGGCTTTTTCTTAGATTGAGGCATTCCATAACTAGGATCAACTGGGCTGTCATTCATTTACAACACTGCAAAGAGCGGCAGAAGCGCTTGCTCACTGGCTGAATCAGGATCAGCTCTGTGAATTTATCCCTGTACGCACAGAGTATTGTGCCTCCTACTGGAAAGGAAGTAGAAAATTCTTGCCTGTGAATTTCTGTTCTCTGAGCTTGCAGGAGCCTCGAAAGAACAGAGAAACACACAAGCACAGAAACATGTACAAGTGCTTGCCCAACTCAGAATAGAAGGAATAGTGAATTCATAATCAGAATGACCCAGATTTTTGATACAACAGACATACTGATGAATGGTTTGTTCAGTTATTCTTTCTTTTACAATCAATATGACTTTATACAGCTGGTCTCCAGTTCCTTGTGTTTCAACAAATAACATTTAAAATCAGAATTAATTTTCTTTGAGATTCCATCAGATTTCACCTTAAACAACTCCTTACAGATTACAAAAAGAGTAATTTTTTTTAGTTCTTTATACTTTATCATATGCTTTGTGCAATACTGTTACTTCTTCTCACGCAACATTGAATAATTGCTTAGCTGTTTTATTCTGTTGCTCATCCTGTGTCTCTAAATGAGGACATTGAAAAAGAAAAAGCCAGATAGACTGCCAAACATAACTTTTACTTTAAGTTCAGGCCCCAGAGCAGTTGATTTTCCATGCAATTAGAGGAAACTTACCCATTTGTGTTAGTTGCGGGGGTGGAGGTTGCTTTATTTTATCCTTTTAAATATTATAAGCTGCTTTGAAGTGTGTTTAGTTCACAAAATGCAATCAGTGATCAAACAGAAACTAAGTATGACAGCAATTGGTTTAAGCATTGAATGCAAACAATTTTCATAGTGATTTCAAAGTCATCGTTAATGGATACTATTACTTGCATTTTCACTATTCTAATTATCCTTGAGATTGTGCATCTGACTATGGGTTGGATCCAAAGAAATGTGAGCAGAATGGCTTCACCCATTAGTGCTGAACAGTGAAGATGTGACTCAAATCATGTACAAAGCCAGAGCACAAGCCGTTCCCTAGCAGGAAATTTCATGTGACCAAGTAGCTGGAGCTGCATCATAATGTGCAATGGGATGGCATGGCTAAAACTAGGTACTAGGGGTTGGATCCTGATTTATGCTAGGTCAATTGTACTGATGGAAATTAGCAGCTCCATCTCTTCCTTCCCACAACAGCCCATCCAAACCTGAAAATACTTTCTGGAGAGCCATAAACTCTGTTGAGAGGGGTGAGCTGTGGGAGCTCCTCAAATATTGAGCAGGACAGCCTTCCTCCAGCAGACGCTTTCCTCTCATGGAAGGTATATTCTGGATCCAGCTCACAGAGAGCATACAGTTCCACACTGGCTGGAGCACAAAGCATTTTCCACTGAGAAGTCTTTGCAATAGTTACTTCCAAGTACAGTCACTTAAAATTGCTATGCACTAAGTGAAAAAGTAACTCTATTGGCTCAGATAGTTCCATGCAGCAAAACAAGTTCAATTGTCTTCAGTGCAAATAGTTTCCCACTGGAAAGGAAGGCTTTGGTTGGCTCTCAAGGCCAGGGGATTTAAGTAGATGGCTGCTACAAGCACTTTTAAGCGGTCTTGTTATAAATAATGGAAAGGCTCATGATAGAGAGAGATCTAGTGATGATAGGGAAGGGAGGCTGGCAGCCACACAACACGGCTTCTGCAAAAACAGGTCCTGCCAGACAAACCTTGTGAAATTCTATGACAAGGTTTTGAGATGGCTAGATGGAGGGGATGCAGTGGACGTGGTTTACCTGGATTTCAGCAAGGCCTTTGACAAAGTGCCCCATGATATCCTGGTGGAGAAACTGAGGAGTTTTGGGATACATCAAAGCACTGTCCAGTGGATTAGGGCCTGGTTGACTGACCAAAAGCAGAGGGTAACCATTAGTGGGGAATCATCGGGATGGCGGTCAGTGACAAGCGGGGTCCCCCAGGGCTCTGTCCTGGGGCCGATCCTGTTTAATCTTTTCATTAACAACATGGAAGAAGGGGTGAACAGTCTGCTGATCAAATTCGCAGACGATACTAAAACTGGAGCAGTGGCCACAACTGAGGAGCAGGTACTCCATATCCAACATGATCTGGACAGACTATGGAAGTGGGCAGGAGACAACAGGATGGTGTTCAATGTGGATAAGTGCAAGGTCTTGCACTTGGGGCATAGGAATAGCTGTCATAAGTACAGGTTAGGGGACAAGTGGCTGGAGAGCAGCACTTGTGAAAGGGACCTCGGGGTACTGGTTGACTGCAGGCTAAACATGAAACAGCAGTGTGATGCGGTGGTCAAGAGGGCGAATGCCATCCTTGGTTGCATAGCCAGAAGTGTGGCTTCTAGATCAAGAGAGATATTACTACCACTCTATATGACTCTGGTACACTCGCAGCTGGAGTATTGTGCTCAGTTTTGGGCCCCTCATTACAGAAAGAATATAGCCAGGTTGGAGTCAGTGCAGCGTAGGGCCACAAGGTTGGTGGCCGGTTTGCAGGGGATGCCGTTTGAGGCGAGACTGAGGGAACTGGGTCTCTTCAGCCTGGAGAAGAGGAGACTCAGAGGAGATATGCTGGCGACATACAGGTATGTGAGGGGATGTCACATGGAGATGGGTAGAGACCTGTTCTCCCCTGCAGAGGAAGGCAGGATGCGCTCCAGTGGAGCAAAGCTCAGGGAACCAAGGTTCCATTTAGATGCCAGGAAGCACTTCCTGACAGTCAGGACCCCGAGGGTGTGGAATGGGCTCCCACAAGAGGTCGTTGAGGCCCCATCGGTGAGGGTGCTCAAAGAAAGACTGGACATGCACATGGTGGGCATGTCGTGAGTGGAGCCAGCTGGAGCCGGGAGTCAAACTAGATGGCTCGGGAGGCCCCTTCTGACTCTCTCTGTTTCTATGTTTTACTCCTGCCATTGGACATTTCTTAGCAATGGGGAAACTGCTTGTGCCTCACTAGGGCTGGCTGTGCATGCATAAGCACAAAAGGAAACAAACAAAAAACCACTTAGAGATGTATAATCCAAAGCAAAAGGATGGAGGCAAATGTTCATCTGGACACAAAAGGCCATCTTTGGAGTTCAGTTCACTTTTCTTGCATGATGCTCTTTCCACTTGCCAATGAGCACCTTTGAATCCAAGCCATGTTGGAGATTTTGTGGTCCTTATTTTATATTCACAAAGGCTACAGGCCATACATATTGGATCCATGCATAATCAGGAACATTAAAAGGGTATATTCATATTGTGATTCAACTAGATCCATTTCACTCTTCCCCAAAGCTCTTTGAAAATGTATGCATTATAGAGATTTTAAAAATCCTGCAATATCTACTTCGTCAACTTGTGCTCTGCATTCATTCCATAAAACAAAATTAAGGGGGGGGAGGCTTATTAATCTTTTTGGAATGAATTATTTACTAAATTCTCTCCCCCTTTTATACATAATGTAAAAGTCTTCCCAACCAAGCAGACCATCAAGCATAAGGAAATCTGTTAGGCCAGCTATGGCGGTCCTTCAGGACCATACATTTTCCATCTTTGAGGCTAGTCTAGGACTGTAGAATTGCTGGAGAGGGAAAGAAGATGGGGTCAAACACCAAGCAACAGGCTACAGTCCATGGTTGGTGAGATGCATTGGGAAAAAGCAGCTGACAAGTTGTTGCATGCCCAATATACCACATGGAATGACTTAGAAGCATGCATAACTTTGATTCATAGAAGTTAAGAAGAGCTTTGCCAGGATCTTCAGTGCGATCAACATTGAAGCCAATGAAGAGTTGCTTTTTTACTGCCAATAAAAAAACTGGAGGAGCCTGGCATTAAGAATGTAACTGGTTGGATCATGAATATACCCATACTGATTTTACTCTTCTGCACTAACATTTCATTTCCATAGTGTACATTTTTCATGTTTAGTAAATCGCTTGACTATAATTACTTTCATACCATAGCAAAACAAAACCAAAAAACAACTGAATACATACCAGGCTTGGATATATCAACTCTACCCCCTGGCAAAATATAAAGACAATTAACAACCATATTGTAACTACCCCTCATGGCCCCCGAAGTAACCCCTCTAATGTCAGTGTTACACTCCAGTCCTAAACATGTTTTCCTTCCAGGATGTCATTCACTGAAATCAGTCTCACAGGAGTGATCTGCTCACATTCATGTAATGTGACTGCAATGTGGGATCCATTCAAACTGGCTAGATGTATCTTTTGATGTCAGTGGAGATATGGGTCAGGACTTGCATAGGACTACAGCTGGGTGAGGGCCATGAGGTTTCCTATGTTATTATTACAGTAACTGCATAAGGCAGGTAAGCCCGAGAGATAATGCATGCCAAAATTCACTGCAATTGCATCCTGTTACAAGCAGCAGAATAGGACTTGGTCAAGATTGCTGCTCCTGGTATGTGCTCATCCATTCCACTTCCATTTTAATGCTCTTGAAAAGCAATGTTTCATTAGTTTCTATGCTTGAGATGAGGTTGTTTTCCTGTGATCACCCTGCCTCAAATGTAGAATTTTATGAGGGATCTTCCATTTGGAACCCTACAGTGGTTTCCTACTGCTTCTTCTATCTTTTTCATCGTAAAAAATTAAAAGAAAACAAGAACATTGTCGCACCATGTTGTTTGATTGGAAGCCCTAGGAGCCATCTGTCTAGGCACACCCTTACTGCTGACTATATCTTCCTATATCTAGGAAGTGGTCCATGATCACCCAATGAGATTCATGGCTAACTGGAGATTGGAGCCCACCTTCCTAAGCTGGCATTCCATCCCCTATACCACAAATAATATTTGGAACCTGGAGACTTACAACTTGGGACATAATAAAGAAGTTCCTTTGGAGTTTTTGCCTTTATTGATTTATGAATTAGTATGCCACCCACTAATCCAGATGGATTCTCTAGGTGGCTTACAGTAAAATACTAAAAACAATAATAAAACCAATTAAAAAATAAAAATCACAAGTATACCAAGTAAGCAGAACAACAACTATAAAAAATAAATAATAATTTAAGACTGTTCTGGAAAGTATTCAGAGAAAAGAAATGAATTTGCCTGGCACTGAAATGAAAAAAAAGGTTGGTGCCAGGCAAATTTCTTTGGGGAGCCTGTTCCATAGTTGAGGGGCAGCCAGCAAGAGGGCCCTCCTTCTATTCACCATCTCCTTTATCTCCTTAATATTAAGACAGCTTATTTGACATTTTGAGCTGCTCCTCAAAAGAAGGGAGCTAAGAAGATCCACTGTACATGTTGAATCTACACTGTGGTCCATGGGCAAGAATGAAGCCAGGGATTCATGATTCAGTTTGACAGTATCCCGTGCTGGCAATCTGTCAGTGCTAAACATATTGCACTAGGGCAGAGATGGGGAACTTGTGGCTCTACAGATGTTTTGGCCTACCACTCCCACACCAGCCATAGCTGCCACAGCCAATGTGAAGTCTGGCTGGAGTTGTAGGCTGAAACATCTGGAAGACCAAAAGTCATAGGATGGTAGGGATACCTGCTTGCACAATGGAAAGCTAGCACTTGCTAAATACAACCCAAGAAACATAGCCAAATGGGACAAATTAGTAATGTTCTCTTCCATAAGCTCTGCTAACCTGTCTCCTTCTGGAAGCTGTAATTTCAACTTTCAGGATAGGCTAGCCATTGCTGGCTTCCCAGTATACTAGAGATCATTTTTGCTGGTACAGCAGCAGCATTTAATACTGTCCCTAGGATCTAGCACAAATATATTTAATTATACAGAATATTTTTTCTTGTTCACTATCAACACTGATCTCCTTCCACAATAATAATGTGGGTTATTTAATAAGAACTGCTCCTTTCAAGTCAACAAGTAGGTGTCCTAAACTGATTCCTTCAACTGAATTTCCAAAATTGCAGAAAGGCAAACAAAAGTTCCAAGGAAAGAGTGTAGGAACCAGCAAATCATACCATCAAGCAAGGTGCCAAAATGGATAACTTGCAAGTATTCTTTCTCCCGCATGAACCCTTTCAATGGGGTGGCCCAACCTTCACTTAGGACTTGAACCCACTGAAGATCCAACTGGAAAAAAGAGAGAACAGCATATGCCAGATTTACACATTAGTCACAACTGTCTGTTGAGTTGAGCCTGTAATTATACACATTGTTTGCAAATTTGTTTTTCTGAGTAGCAGAGAGCTTCCTCAATTCCTTGAACCAAAAAAACCACACAACTTTTTGAAGATTAAAAATGACTACATTTGCACGATTGAAAAAGCACAACTGATATGTACTTAATTATGAAAAAGCTATAATGAACTTCTAACTAAAGATAAAGGAAAGACAATCAAAACTGTATTAGCTACTAGCAAAGGTCCACCATACAATGGATGTGGTATGTTTGGAAAGAAAGCCCAAGATAGTGACTGAATAGTGAGTGCTCAGCATACGGAGGAACATCCTTTTTGGTTCACGGCCTGATCAGAGTGTTAGCACTTCTGAGCAATGCAGCACAGTCTCCAAGTACAATTACTTGCTTATCACAATAAAAATGAGCAGCAGTCACTCTTTTACACAGGAATTAAGAAAGGGTGCTTTCAGGGACCTCATGGTGGGGGTCAGGGAGAGACTTCATGCCCCATTATGTTCCAGCTTGTATCAACATAACCCCAGTGAACTGTGTTCTTTGGACATCTAAGCCCTATTCAGAAGTATCTTTCGCAGACTAGATGGCTGTGTGTGGGCAAAACAGGGTTGACATTCACAAGCCCAAGGACAGGCTAGACATGCACATGGTGGGCATGTCATGAGCCGAGCCGGCTGGAGTTGGGGGTCAGACTAGATGGCCTGGATGACCCCTTCTGACTCGCCCTGTTTCTGTGTTTCCAAGCCTGGCTCCTGAAGTCATGTGTGATGACGAACCCTGTTCCCTGGCATGTGCATGCACAGTGCGAATGCTTGCAGGGAGACAGCCTGTCCGTCTACAGCTGCTATAGTGGTGAAGAGTGCAGGACTGGGGCCCAGGAGGTCTGGCTGCAAGTCCCCACTCAGCCATGGTGCTCCCTGGGTGACTTTGGGCCAGCCACAAGCTCTCAGCCCAACCTGCTCCACAGGACAAGACTCAGAGGAGGAGGACAATGAATGGAAGCCACCTTGAGTTCCTTGAAAAGGAAATAAAGGCGGGCTATAAATACATTAGATTAATAAGGAAAGATGTGGAAAGGCTGGAAAGTTGCACGAAAGCTGCCCAGCCCTCTCTGTGTCTGATGCTCCTTGGACATGCACAGGCTGCCTCCCTGCAGGTGCCCTTCTGTACGCATGGACAGCAGGGCACGGGTCTAGATGCCGCATGCAACATCAGGGGCAGGGCCCGTCACCAAGGCCCTGCCCAGCTTTTGCATTTACCCGCACGAGGGATGCTTCTAAACAGTGCTAGAGTGGGGCGGAATCTTGTAACTGATGCTAAAATGCATAGGTACAACACTGTCACCATACTATGAGAGTAACTACAACTCTATGCTATGTCAGAATTGGTGAGCGCTGGCAAACAAACCATGGGTCTGTAGGAATCCTTCAGTTTATAATGGTGCAAAAACAAGCAGCAGCAGAAGCAGCTGAAGCAGGAGGAGGAGGAGGAGGTGGAGGAACACAGCAACCTGCCTCAGCTGCTGGGGCTAATGGAGCCTTCCCTGTTGATCCATGCTTCCGGAGCGCATGTAGGAAAGAGTTAAATTCCCACTACTTGCCTCAGGCAGTTCTGCTCGGACCCACCCACCCTGAAGCTGCTTTTTATATCTTTCAAACATGCACACCAATTGCATTCACACAGTCAATATACTATCCAGTGCATTAGCTATGAGGGCCTTTCCAAATCTAGTGCCATCAGATGTGTGGCTGGCTGGGAGGATCTGGAAAACACTGAGCTGTGGTCTGGCATTGCAATACTAACCCGAGCTAGTATTTCTACCGAAACAGAGGGACAGGTGTACATTAGCTTGAGATTCTGTTCCAAGGTAAGAAGAGCCTGCAAATATTGGCCAGCAGGTGGCTACATGTGTCATTGGAAACAACTCTGAATTTAAGAGAAAGGTATACAAGACTCTTTCAATGTTCATTAATCACCTGAAAATGTCCTGTTCCCAATCTCAAATGTGTGCATGAGTAATAGAATGCTGTTTCAAGAAATTCATTGCAAATTCATGAAAATTGTGATTGTGCTCAGAAAATGCACACTTTTTTTAAAAAAAGCAAAGCTTTATAAAATGCACATGTTTATGCTTTCATCAAAGAGGAAAGTACGTGCAGAAATGCACCATTTCCCCACATGAAATGTGCTTCTCAAAAAGTCTTATCAGAAGATATCAAAAGACTAGCCCAGTGGAACTCTTCTAAGAATGGTATAAAATATGAATATAATTGACAAATTCTGTAGTTTCCCTCAACACTAGCTGCTTTACCGTATTTAATGGCAGGACTAGCTCTTGGTCTCCTTCTTTCCCTGGCAGAACATGGATGGTGATGTGGGGAGGAGAACTTCTTTGGGAAGGGAGTACTGACATGCAAGCACCTGTTCAATGCATCGGTGGAATCTACCTTCCTAACAGGTGGCACACCAATTAAAGTATCATCCAAGCATCCAAAATCTCAGGGAGGGGTGCACGAGTGAAGGCATTCTTCACCATGAGACAGTGATGCTATAGTGGGCCTAGTACAACCTTTCCCCAGCCTGGCACTCCCCCGGTGCACTGAATGCAAGTCTCATCATTCCCATGCTGGATGAGAATGATGGGAGGTTTGTTTTAATTGTTTTTATTTGCAAATATAGCAGAAGTAAGAGAGAGGGAGGAAGAGGAAAAAAAGAAAAAAAGAACATAATATGAAAGCATATCCACTCATAATAATCATGTGTAGCACCATTATTTTTTTTAAGGAGAAAGAAAAGGATTCAATGTTTCTGTTTCAAATGTATTTATTAACATCAACGGTTTATATTTATAAATACATATCCAAATAAAGCTGGCAGATGGAAGAGATGCCGGAAATAGAAAGAGGGCAGGAAGGGACTGCAATCTGGGGGGCGGCAGGTTGAACAAGCGGAAACTAACACAACGAGGCCTCTGTGACTTAATTCCTACCTTGGTGATTTTTACAGAAGGCAGGGTATTGGCTTCAGCCCGTGCTTGTTCAATTTTATTTTCTGGTGCAAACAGTTCAAGAACATCCTTGATTGCAGTTGGAGGAACAATGTTCTAGTGGAGAAAAAGCAGTAACTTTAGTCGTCTGTAAAAAGATGCCCCCCTTTTTTTGTTCTGCTGCATATTCAAGCCAAACCAGGATTACCTGTTCTTGTAAGAGCTCTACAATGTTCTGAATGCATTCAGTCACTGAATAGATGTTGGTTTTCAGTACAAGTTCAGGTGCTTCTGGTTTCTCATATTCTGAGTCAATGCCAGTAAAACCTAGGTGGCAAGCAATTCAATTACTTGTGAGAATAAAATTCCAGTAAAATGGTAAATATAGCAAAGAGGCAGTGAGGACACTCATGTTTAGGAATTGCTTTTGCAACCTCTGTATCGCCTGCTGAAGATTTCTTACCAGGCACAAAGGTCAAAATCTATGGCGAAACAGTGACCTCCCAATACAACAGAAGTGCAGAACCTCTGGTCTGGAGCCAGACTGGCTCTCTGGGGGGCCCAAGCAGACCTCCATGAGCCCCAGAAGAATATGCCCCCTTTCCATGGCTCCACAGGCTACTACAGCCACTGATAATTTGGTTGTGCCATTCCCCGCTCCCTCTAAACAGTTGAATGATCACATTTCATATCTTAAGGCTTAGTTAACACATGTAAGAACTTTATTTATTATTTCATTTTTATACCACCCAATATCTGAGGCTTTCTGGGCAGTTAATATTAAATACCATAACATAAAAATTAAAACACATACACACACACAGCAACAGCAATTGAATCAGCATAGAGATCTAGCAGTGGTACAGAATAAAATACAACTTTAAAAATAAAGTTTAAAAGTTGAACTGTTAAAATGCTGGGAGAATAAAACAGTCTTCAGCTTGGCACTGAAAAGAAGACAAAGTAGGTGCCAGGCACTCGTCTTTGTGGAGCTCATTCCACAACCAGGGTGACACAACCAAAAAGGCCCTCCTTCTGGTTGCCACCCACCTTATTCCCTTTGGGGCTGCTGGTGAAGGACCCACAAAGATATCAGGGTCTGAGTATGGGAAAAGATGACCCTTCAGATAACCTGGCCCCAGCTGCTTTGAATGTTAGGACTGGCACTCTGAATTGGACCTGGACTTCAACTGGCAGCTAGTGCATCCGGAAATGGACTGGCACAGTATGTTCTCGTGAGACAGTCCCCATTAACAGTCTTGCTGCCCTGTTTTGGATCAGCTGACGTTTCTATATTTTCCATGGCAGTGCCATGTGCAGCATCTGTCTTCTACTCCACCCACCACTGGAATGTGTCCTCTAGAATGTGTCCATTTCTCAAATGGATTTGCTTGGCCTCCAAGAAGTTCTGCACCTCTGCAACAAGCCGTACCTTCTTCCAGCCAGTTGAGCTTAAGGCCATTGGAGTTCCCTCTCACTGCTGCACTGCAGCTATTCCTGCACCTTTAGCCACCATTAGCTTGGCTGTAGGCATCTCTCAGAGGTTTATCCAATGACATGCAGGTTTTTCCTGTTTGGAGTGGCTCAGGGTAGGCAAAGCCAGTTTGCTCCTCAAGGAACTTCTGATCGAAACTCTCAACATGATGAAACTACACAGGGGTGGGGAGAGTGTGTAGGAAATGTCTCTGTGGCTCTTAACAGCCAACACAGAATTATACCACACCTTTGATTTCTCCAGCTCGTGCTTTCTTGTACAGGCCTTTCACATCCCTGCTCTCACAGATGTTCAGAGGTGCATCCACAAAAATTTCAAAAAAGGGGAGCCCGGCTGTTTCATGAATCTTCCGTGCATTCGCCCGATCCTGCATAAAGGAAGGAGTCCTAATGTCATGATCCTAGTACTGTAATTTTTCTTCTGTTTTGCTGGAGTGCAAACACAGAGCAACACATCTCTTGTAAGCCCCAGCCAGCATGCCCAATGGTCAGGAACTCTGAAAGTTGTGGTCCAAATTGGTTGGAGGGCACGAGGCTGCCTCCCTCTGGTATACACCTTCTTGGTCAAGGCCCTGTCGCATTCCTATTTCAGCAAGAGCAGGTGTGGTGTGCTTACATGGCTATAACTTAGCTGCAACTGGTTGACTGCAAATGATGGTCTGCCCACCCTTTTTCTTTGCAGCTCTTAGTGTACTGCTGGCATTAAATACTTCCCAAGCAGCAGCACCGTCACTGAGTTCAGACCTGGCACTGGAGGGCAGTACAGGCAGGATGCTCCCCAGGGTGTAGTGAGTGAGAAGGGCTTTCCCCTGCCCAGATCTGCCTGTTGCTGTACCATCATCTCCCTACTTGTTCACTCACTCAGTGAAAACCCAAACCTCATTTGAGAAGCACAACACACCATAAGCAATCTGGGCTGGGATTGCAAGACATGACAACCAACCACTGACTGTTGTCCTGCAAACCAGGTCAATGTCTCATGATGAAGCCAGTGCAGAAGTTATGCTGAACCTATTGCCTATAGGATTTTGACTCTGCCAAGCATATCCAGCGGCAGCACTCTCTTTTAGCAGAACAGAGGGTAATATCCAATGTTAGAATTACATAAAGTAGACCTACTGAAATGAATGGGACTTAAGTTTATTAGGACTCAAGTTTCATTCACTGATGTGGGTCTACACAGAACTAACACCGGCTTATGCCCAGAGATATAGAACCAATGGTGCATGGGAACAGAGTGTTAGGAAGAAGAAAGACTAGCCATCAAGAAGGGCACTCCTTCTTCAAGGTTACCATAGCAGGAGAAAGAGGAAGAAGACTAAGATGAGTTACAGCTTCCTGGTGGGTCATGAACATCACCCGTTTCAGCATCTCCATTCTTCTGTTTGCTACCCTTCAGCCAGGGAAAGATGAACATTTGTATGGCCAGAAGATGCTTGTATGAATAGGTGCATTTTAAAAGCACCACTGATGAGGCACAGGAGCTTTGATCATATAGAGTTTTATTCCAAAACAGTTTTGAAATCCGAAAGACAAGAACAGCCACTTCCTCATGCAAAAATGGTGTCTTTCAATTCTCACTAAAAACCATTTTATAATAGATTTCAGTTGAAATATGAATATGACACTTGCTTCAATGCTAACACCACTTTACAGGCTAAACATTTCAAAACATTTTAAAAGGCTGCAATTTCTTTTCAATGGTGTTATATCTATTCAATGTAGAAATCATTTTAAAATCTTTTTAAAAAGGTACATTTGGTAATATTAGTTGAAAGGCCAAGGGAACAAACAGTGGTAGATGCAGCTTTTTGAAAATGATGGGAAATACACAATGTCTTGGTAGAATTTTCTTGATAGGTTTACCTTTGAGTAAGGAGAAATGAAACTAGTTATGCAAACCAAGCCAGCATCAGCAAACAGCTTGGCAACTTCAGCAATACGTCGGATGTTTTCTTCTCGGTCATCAGCAGAAAATCCAAGATTTCTGTTGAGCCCATGGCGAATGTTATCCCCATCAAGGGAGTAGCAAGGGATGCCGTGAGACACAAGATACTCTTCAAGTGCAAATCCAATGGTTGTCTTACCAGCACCAGAAAGACCTGTTAATCATCATCATATAATTAGTATATGAAACAAATCTGTAATATTCCATGTACCTGAAAATCTCCTCAAATCCTTAAATGTGCCATGAATTAAACTGTAAAACACAGGCAACCTCATCATGCTTAAAGGTGGATGGTGAATCTGCAGGCTCACACTGTGTTGTGTAATTTACACACAACTAGACCTACAATCTATTCCTTCTAGGGCTTGTCCTAGCAAACAATGTCCCTGAATTTCAGTCCATCTGCCTTTTAAACTTCTTCCTATAAAGACAAAGATACTTGAAATATGAAATAAATCAGATCTAGTTATGTCAGTTATTGTTATGGTTTTATGATCCACACAATGTAACCCACTGGGGCCCAAAATGTTCCATGCCATTTTGAGGATACTACAGGTCATCTTAGTCTGTTTTGAGTGCCAAGAAGATGCCAAACCCCTTCTTAACCCAAAAACTGAGAAGATGAAACCTGAAATCCAATATGGTGGAGGAAAGAATTAGTCTCATGTATAGAGGTTCAGTGATCTTGATTAGCTGAAGTCCGAAATCCATCACTGTCAGCTAATAGGGGAAAATATTCAATCAAACAATGCTTTTTCATAGGGGACATTTGCCTCACCAGAGACAATTAGGTGTACCGGGTAAAAAAATGATCCAAAGAATAAATCTAGTGTTCAAAGATATATGCATTTCTTAGTTTCTGTCAGTGTTTTGCCATCTTTGGTTCAAAGAATTGTTCTCTTTGTTTTCTGTGTTTAATTTTTGAAAATAAAAATCTTTTATATTTGACAATTCAGAAAAAATGTTGGTTACTCTAAATGCAAAAATGGAAAGTTAATGTGTGAAAGTCAGTGTGGTGCACTGGTCAGGAGTGCTGGACTGGGACTCAGGAGAGCTGGGTTCTGGTCCCTGCTCGGGATTCACTGGGTGACTTTGGCCCAACCTACCTCACAGGGTTGTGGGGATAACACTGAGAGAAGGAGAATTATGTAACCCTCCTCGAGTGCCTTGGAAGGAAAAAAGGTAGGATACAAATATAATAAATAAATGAATATATTAAAACAAACTTATCACTTTACATATTATGTGTTTACTGAACTTGGATGTTTGGTATTTTAAACACAAGCTGTCATGATTTTTAAAAACAAAAACAAAATAGAAGTCCTCTCCTAGGACCTTCTGTACCCCCTACATTTATTAGAATTCATATTTTAGGCCCTCAGATATGACATTTTTAGGTTTTTCTAAATGCAAGAGGAAGGTACATCTTTCTTGTAACTACATGTTCTAAACTATTAAATACAAGAAGGTACATGTGTATCTCCTATCATCTTGGAGAATGGTTATCCTTTGGCTGAGCTGCTGAGGAATGTTCACAATGCTCAAAAAAGGGCTCCACAGTCAAATGCTGACTAATAATAATGCTCCTGTGCTGCTTCTTTCAGTTTGTTTTGATGGCGAACAGGCAAAAGCCAAGAGCTCTTGGGAGAGTTTGCAGCCAAAACAAACAGAGAGAAACATGAAGGAAGTTTACTGAAGTCAAGAGGCAGTGGAGTGACTAATTACCCAGATATCTGGCTATAGATCAGGCCAAATTTAGCAGATTAGACCTGTATTCAAAATCCTGATGAGCCACAGAGTCACCATTACTTCTTAGGCAAAAGTGGGATGCTAGGTCTTTATTTATTTATTTAGAGTATTTGTATGCCGTCCCATCGCATAGCCTCAGGATGGCTTACATAAAATCAAATACAACATAATACAAATAAAATCCAGATCCACCCTGGCTGCAGATTAAAACCTATAAGCTGATGTTAAAAGTTATTAAAATATTGTTGAAATAAAAAGGTCTTCGCCTGGTGCCGAAAAACAAATAACGATGGCGCCAGGCGGACCTCTCTGGGGAGCGCATTCCATAGGCGGGGCGCCACAGCATAGAAAGCCCTCCTCCGGGTCCATTGCCTCCTAATGTCTTTCACGGAGGGTTCCCGGAGGAGGGCCTCTACTGCCGATCTCAGGGGGCAGGAGGGCAAATACGGAAGGCGTTCCTTTAGGTATCCAGGTCCCAAGCCGTCTGTAAACCATACATTGTTCTTAATGTACCAAGAACAAGCTGACTCAGCCTTAGATTTCTCTTTCCCTCTCTTCTCCTCTCCCTATCTTTCCCCCAGTTTACCATGATTTAGAATATACCAGTTTCCTAAGCTGAAAAATTGTGACTTGTCCAAAACTGGAGGCAGCCTTCGGTCTCTTCTCCTTGTGAACAAACAAGGCTGAGAGCGGAGAACACGAGTGGCTGTGGCTCAGTGCAGCTCATTCCCCTAACACGGAGCTGCACTTTAGTGCTATTGCTAAATCAGGGTGTTCATCTGTTGAACAGGAGCAACAGTGACCCATCCCAAATGCACACCACGGCTATGGTTTATCATTACCTGAACGAGCCCTGGGCGTATGAGCTCCCCCTGCTCTCCCCTTCTGCAGCAGAATTGGAAGGAGGCTGAAAAGCAACTGAAGGCTCTCAATGCACAACAGTCAAGCCTTCCCTCTGCTGAATCAAGCCCAGAGATGTGAAGAATGTGGGAAAACTTTTTTTTAATGACAGGAAAAAGTGCCCCTCAAGGAGGATTTTTGCTTGGGTGGCTTAGAATGTTGAGTCTCTTTTAGAATAATGGAATAAAATATTTAAGAAAAGGTGTTTATCACTCCCCAGTCTTTACTTCCCAATGATTACATTTGCATGTATTTCCTTGCCATGTATGTTCCACTTCAAAGAAATGTGCAAACGTGCAAATATTCCTGTTAGCTTTGGATTTTTTAAAAAGGAAAACCCTTAGAGGCTGGTTGAAAGGGATGTCGCAAAGGGATGCAAGGACCAGCAGGCCTTTTGCCTGTCCCTGCACAGGGCTCTGCACTTTCTGTCCTATGCAGCTGCTTCCATGGTGCCTCAGAGGCTAAAGTGGTGGGGGGAATCCATGATTGAGCCCCCTCTTCTGTGCTTGTGGTTCTGCTTACAGGCATGGAAGAGGAGAACTGCAGCATCGAATGATACCCCTGATGCTGTCTAGGGACCACTCAATTGCTCTCCAAATGACTTTAGATCTGTTAAGTCTTTTTCTCCATTTTTTTCTGGTGGGAAAGAATGAGTTTCTTCCAGTTTTTATAATATTTTTGCAAATTTTACAGCTCTGACCAAGCCAGTTTCAAGCCATACCCAAGACTAAATACAGTTTTTCCAGTTTAATCAAAACCCTAAACTGCAGTTAGTTCAAAATGAAAGCAAAAGTGTTTAATTCTCCAGCCATGCCAGAGCTGTTGTCCACTTAAGAGCAAACCAGAGTTTATTGATATTTTTGAATAAACCTATTCATACTATAAACCTTTCCAAGTATTTTGCATAATATAAGTACAAGCACCCCATTTTTAACTATGTTAGAATTTCTATCTCTTGGGTTAACTCAACAGTTAATAATATTCATTTCTTTTTCTTTTTATGTGACTAATAATCATTATCCAGTTGTACTCCTTTGGATTATTAGCTTATGTATTTGTGGTTTTTAATCCTTCTGGTGCAAATTTAAATAGAAATGCAGAATTTTCTCCATGTGCCATCTTGCTGAACTGTTCAGGAACAGGATACCTGTTAGCCATACTGTACAGCCACGAAATCCACCTCTTGTGCCCACAATCTGTCCTCTTTTACTTCTGCTAACATGATGAGCTTGGTAGACCACATTTGTAGACCTCTGGAGATTCTAAGAGGAAAAAACACACAAGAAGAACATAAAGCCATTGTTTTATGACTGATAATACAACCTCCACCTCCAACTGAGGTATACTAGAACGCAAAAACAAATGCATTAATGTTTTGTGAAATAGGCTAATATGCTACCACAGGCTTACAAGGCCCTCTCCTGTCTTTGGCTTCAGAAGTGGTTGTCTAAGTAAATCTCTACTTTCAACCAGAGTAAGGAAGGACTCCCTGGAGACGAGCCTAATGCTGGGAACAATAGATGGCAAAAGAAGACGGGGACGGCAGAGAATGAGGTGGCTAGATGGAGTCACTGAAGCAGTTGGTGTGAGCTTGGATGGACTCCGGGGGATGGTGGAGGACAGGAAGGCCTGGAGGAATGTTGTCTGTGGGGTCGCAATGGGTCGGACACGACTTTGCGACTAACAACAGCAGCAGCAGCATTCCACCTGTCCTGACTTGGCAGCAAGCCTTATCACTGGCAATGTGATTGCATTTGCTACCACAGCTGAGCCGTCTCTGTCCTCTGCCACATGAGGCAGCCACCTCTCTCTGCCTAAGGGTAGAGTCATCCCTCCCTGTATACCTGTGTGGCCCAAGCATCCTCTCAGCCGTGTTCCTCAGCAGAGCTCCACTTTCAGGTTTTACTATGGAAAGGTTGGAAGACAGTTACAGAAGAAAGCATTTCCCTGCAAAATTCCTTGCTCTGTCTACAAATACTGCAGGTTGAAGCATGGAAGTTGGACTAGGACACTTCCCATTCCTAGGGAGAGTCCCCCTTGCCATTTCGAGTTAGCACGTCTACCCATAAGTGGAGAGTGAATGTTCCAGCCAGCCCAGTCAAGGGGCTCAAGCTGCCTCATAAGCCGATCTGCAGGCTTGAAAGAACTGTAGCTTGCTCTTCCATAGCTGTCTGCATGGCTAATCTGCAATTTCTTCAGAGAGGAAAAAGCCAAGCAGGCAAAAGGAAAACTGTGACCCGGGGTCCTCAAACTTTTTCAACAGGTGCCAGTTGAAAGGTGCTGGTGCTGCTGGGCGCGGGCCGGAAAGGTGGTGCTGGCAGTGTGCGCTGGCCAGAGAGGGGGCGAGGGTGGAGTGCATGTGGGCACGCTGAGGTGCGGATGGGGCTCGCGGGCGCAGTGAGGCGAGGCGAGACGAGGAGAGGCAGGGGAGGGCAGGCGCGGCGAGATGAGGCGAGACAGGTGCCCGCTTGGAGATGGTTTTCTCTGAGCGAGTCCAAAACGATCTCCGCGCGAGCAAGGCGGTGGCAGGTGGGCATGGGGAGAGGCAGGCGGCAGCAGGCACGGTGATAAATGGGCATGGCGGGCCAGATCCGGCCTGCGGGCCATAGTTTGAAGACCCATGGATTAACCTCTTCAACATTAAAAACTGTTAATATATCATTTTTGTTCCCTTTTTGGCTCAATGGTTTATCCTCCTCAACATTAAAAACTGTTAATATACCATTTTTGTTCCCTTTTTGGCTCATTGATTTCCTCAGAATGTGACAATAAGTGCATATGGGAATTGTTTGCAATAAACAACAGATGGTCTTATCAGCTGCTCTAAATAAGTCAAAATTGTCTAACAATTAGAATATACACACACTCATTCTGGTTTATTAAAAAACTGGCTTTTAAAAGGTGTCTCACACAAAACCACATACACGCTTGACTATGGGTTTTGATGTTTGATTTTCAATATTTATATCACAGGAATATGCTATGTAACAACACCAAGAACAGAGTAAGGGATTATTTGAAATTCCAAAGGTGAAAAAGAGAAACATGATAGCTGAAACTCTTGCTCTGGCCACCAAGGACTACAATTTTAATATGAGAAGGAAGGGTGGGGAGAAAAAGACAGAAATCTTGCCTCCACCTTCACCAACAAGCTTCAGAAAATCATTCGACATTAAGCCACCACTCTGTTAAGCACTCCTGTGCCCCACGAAACAACACAACTACCATTCTGACATGGCCACCCAGTTCCCCCCCACCTTCCTGGAAATGGGGGTAGTGAATCAGGGGCAGCTTTTTGTCTCATATATATTATATCAGTCTGAGTAGGGGCGGAGCAGATGGAAGACTAAACCTCTCCACCAGTCTGATTAAGTACTAGTGCCATGCAGGCAAATTAAACACATGCCTGTATTCTAGACTGTAATTTATTAAACACTAATTATGCAGTGATATGGCTGGTTAGGGAATCCTGGAAGGAGTAGATCATTTTTCTGTCTAAACATGCATGGGATTATATCTTCACTTACACAGGAGTAGGCCCTGCTAAATAGAGAGGTACTTCCTTCAGAGTAGGACAGCACAGGATTGCAGCATAAATGCTCAAAGTGCTTCATGCAGATTAGTTCAGTGATTAGTTGTCCGAAAAGGCACATCAATAGTTTATTCCTATTGGGCATTATCATGGACCAAAGTTGGTCAAGGTCACATCACATGCTGTGAGATAAGGTTTGACAATGGACATTCTTGCTTATCCTCTTTGGATTGTCACTGATCTAGCCCCCAAAATTTTATAAAATTCAGAATAACATATATTCTATTTCCCAAGAAGCTTGTGTTTAAAGATTCTGCAGATTCTCAAAACACGTTTAACCCTGAACACTGCTGGAATTATTTAGCTCACAGGAAATTCCAGCATGAGCCTAGCTCCCTTTTGAGTTATTCTTCGTTCACGTTTTGCTGAATCATTCTTAAAGAGGCAAAACTCCCTGGTGGCTGAATATTCTGCAAAGTAAAACCCACATTTCTTCTGATTCCTGCAAAGAAATCTCTTGACATTTAAATATGTAAAGGTCTGAACTTCTTGCTATCAGGCATTCAGATGTTAAAACAGTAACAAGAAATATATGTATGTATTACACATGGCTTGACTGTTGCCCAGGAAATACTATCTTGCAATGCAGTATAGATTGGGGCTTATTCTCAGATTAGCAGCTATAGGACTGAAGCATTAATCTACAATGATTCAAAATCTTTAAAATTGCATAGAAAACCAAACCTAATAATTAACAATTAGTGTCCAACTCAGAATGTCATCATTGATGTAGTTGTATCAATAGTAAATTATATTGAGAAATCTAACTTAAGAGTCCTATAACAGAGTCTATGTTTAACTTATGAACACAAATTTATTATGCTTATGCTACAAATGTCAAACTGAAGCTATCTGTTCTGCTCAAATAAATGTTTCTTGAAATTTGGCAGCCAGGCCAATGAGATGCTTTTTCCAATATATCCAAAAGCTTTCCAATCATGGGGAAAATATTAAAATTATGGACCTTATCAAGGTCATCTAAATGCCTGGTAGTGAAACTTGGGCATGCACAATGTACTGCAGTCCTGATTCTTCAGACAAAAAGAGAAGAGAAGCAGTTGGCTATGTCATGACTGCACTCTGGATCTAAGTGCCCTTCATCGGAGTCACCAATATGGAAAGCGCTAAGGAGCATTCAAATGACCAGCCACCTCCCCCACTCCCTGGACTTTGAACAGGAACATTGCTATAGGGGGAGATATGGCATGGCTCTGGTGACAGAAACTTCAGAAAATCATCAGATCCTAATAGTAAAAGTCTTCCAGGTAACACACGGCACCACATCATCTAGTTCATACTTTGGAAGCAACTCCTGTTCTGCTAACTGGGAGTCGCTGATAGATTTTTTTGCATGTAGGCCACAAAAAGAGTCACCATCACAGACAGGAAAAAAGGCTGAAAGGGCCAATCAATCAATTGATTGCGTGTACAATCTACAGCAAGAGCTTTTTTTACCTTTGTTTTCATATTTTAGTAGCCTCTATAAATGAAAACGACGGACACTGCTCCCAGCATGGGTATAAGAAAGCCAAAGCAAAGCAGGAACAAATTGTCCACCAACCGCTTGACTGACTCAGCCAAGTTAAACACCCCTCAGCTGCTTATCATGATGTCTAAAAGCCAGAATGAGAGCTTGCTGAGTGCAAGGGTCCAGGCAGCTGGGTAACAGATCTTGCACCAGGATCCAGGAAGAAGGCAAGGTCGTCAAAGGCAAAATCCAATTACTATCCAAGTCACAAGTCCAAATATCGGAGTCAATCAGGCCAAAGACAAACCAGGAGTCCATTGTAGCACAGTCCAGGAAACAAGGGGTTAGTGAAACCCAAGCCAGAAGAAGGGACATGAGGAAGTACAAGGAAAGATAATCATAACTGCAAATGTTAAAAACTGGGCAGAACAGCAAACACCCTAGAAGACAAAGTGAAGATCCAGGGCGATCTTGATAAACTTGAACACTGGGCTGAAACCAACAGTATGAAATTCAATAAAGACAAGTGCCACGTCCTCCACCTAGGAAAAAGAAACCAAAGGCATCGATACAAGATGGGGAATATGTGGCTCAACAGAATTGAACATGAAAAAAATCTTGGAGTAATGGTGGACAATAGACTAAACATGAGCCAACAATGCAGTGCAGCCACCAAAAGGGCAAATGCCTTAACAGAAGTATTACTTTCAAATCACGAGAAGTAGTCGTTTCTCTATACTCCTCACTAGTAAGACCTCACTTGGAATACTGTGCCCAGTTCTGGGCACCAAAATTTAAGAAAGATGCAGGTAGATTAGAAAGGGACCAGCAAAGGGCGACAAAAATGATCCATGGTTTGGAAACACTGCTCTGTGAGGAGAGACTGAGGGAACTGGGCATGTTCAGCCTTGAGAAGAGAAGACTGGGAAGGGACATGATATCCCTCTATAAGTACCGCAAAGGCTCTCACAAAGAGGAAGGTCAAGATTTCTTCTTGCTAATGCCAGAATGTAGGACACGGAATTATCAATTCAAGTTGTGGCAACCCAGATTCAGGCTGGACATCAGGAAAAGCTTCCTCATGGTCAGAGCAATACAGCAGTGGAACCAGCTGCCTAGAGAAGTGGTGGGCTCTCCCATACTAGAGACATTCAAAAAGGACCTGGGCAGCCATCTGAGTGGGATGGTGTAACTTGGTGTCC